ATCGTGGACATCACATTGCTAAGGCGGCGTTGAGAATATTGTTTAAGAGGGACTGACACGATTCTTCGATGATCTGGCTCCTAGCGATGACGATTCCGTTGAGATTCGCTGTTCCTGAAAGCGCAAGGCATGCTTGCTTGCTGGACCGAGAAGAGCCATGTCGGCGCAACGCGCTGACGGGCGCGTAAGGTTTGTATGTACATACATACGCATGCACGAGACTGCATTGCTGGTAGGCGCCATGCACCTTTGTAATTCAATTTTTGCTTGCGGGCGGAGTGAGAGAAATAAACAGAAGTAGACACACATGCTCATATCTATATATATATATACACCTATGAATGGGGAGGGGGTCCTGGGGGTCCCGGAGTGCACTGATTTGTCTTCTGGCCGTTTTGGGCCCGGCGGGGGTGCCAGAACGCGTCAAAGAGGGGGAAGGGGGGCGACGAGAGGGCCCAATACCGCACAAGAGCGTTTCAAAATTGGTCCGACACGGTTTGAAAACAGCCCAAGAGGGCTTCAAGACGGCCAAGATGCCTTCAAAAGGACTCCCACGAGGCACTCAGGAGGCGAAACCAGTATGTTTTTGTTCGAGGGTTTTTGAAGGCTTTTCGTGTTCTCGCTGTTTCGTGCTTCCGACGGTCCAAGACAGCCCACGAGGCCCCGGAAATCAGAACAAGACGGCCCCAAAGGCACCCAAAGAGGGCGCCACAACGGCGCAAGAGAGTCCCAGGACAACCCAACAGTGCCCCAAGACGGCCCAAGAGGCGCCCAAGATCGCCAAAGAGGGCCCCAAGACGGCCCCAAGAGGGGCCCAAGTGAGGGAACACGAACCGACAATTCGAGCCTTCCACCCCAAGTGGCCCCAAGAGGCCCCCAACAGAGCCCAAGAGGCCCCCCAGAGGCCCCCTTGCAGGCCCCACGAGGCCCCAAAGAGGCCCAAAATGACGCCCCAAGAGGACCCCAAGCGGCCCCCAAGAGGCCTCCCAAACTGCCTTCAAGAGGCTTTCAAAGTTGCTTCCCAAATGTGACATAGCATTGCGGTGCATTGTATAGCCTGGCATGCCAAGTCTGTGCATATCATGTAACGCGGTAGCATCGCTCTTCATCGAATACGTAGCATGATATGGTTCAGCGTATCCTCCCATCTATCATCACAGCATTTCACAGCACAGCATGGCATGACATACAATGCGCATTGTAGAGTCTATCATGTTATTGCATTGAAAGCGTAGCATGATGTGTCACGGCATCCCATAGCATAGTGCAACATGGCGCTGAAGCGCTGCATTGTTCTTGGCCCATAGCTTGGCGACATATCACCGGTCGACTGGTCGATGAGAGCAGAGGAGGAGAAATGAGGAAGAGGCAGGAGGAAGCAGAGAATGTTGACCACATGATTAATGTCCGCCTTGTTGCTCTCAATGCGGTCAGCACTTGAGCAGCTAGAACCTTTTCGCGCGCGAAGCGCGCGTGGTTCTAGCACATCTATACAGATGCAAGGCTTCGTTGGCCTTTCGCGCCACGCACCTTGGTCCTTCAACATTTGAATATGTTGGCACTTGGCGTCGTCCTCTTTGGTTTTTGAAATTTGTCCGTTTCACTTGAAGTCCCTGTACCCGTTCCTTGTTTGCTTTCGTCCTCGATGTACACGTTCGTGCGCCACCAGAAATTGTCTTGGGGTGTGTCGTGATTCGAATTCCGTGGCGGACCCGATGACGTGGCGACGAGAACTCTTCCTGAAGGCTTTGAAACAAGTTTGACCAAAACCGCGTGCCCTCTTCGCTGGATGCTGCGGCGGCAAGTGTGGTAACGGCCTGCGCGTCGTTGGCGCTGCTTGGGTCGTTCAGCCGTGAACAACTGCGCATTCCCGTTCAACACCGGCCGATTCCTGACCACTGGCCGCGTTCATTCCGAACGCCCGCGTCGGTGTCGCCTCTGCGTCGACACGACGTAAACCTACCATTATGGAGGAACAGTTGTTTATTGGGGGTCGCCTTCTCCACTCCAGGATCGTTTTTCAGGCCCTCTGGGTTGCAGCGGCTTCCCGAGGCCGACGTCGAAACCAAACCTCCGACACTGACACGCATTCCAGGAAGCCTGGCGGCTTCCAGCGGCTCCCAACGGCATTATAACAATAAGTCTATGAGATCGTAGACCGTGAAGAGTGAGGTGTTGAACTCTGGCGGTGGAAGTACTTCGGCTTAAAATACGTAGTGTGAACGATGTTGTGGCAGCCGTGGGGTGTGAACTATGCGGTGGAAGCTCTTCGGTGTTAGCTATGTGGTGGTAGCTATGTTGTGTAAAGCACTCTGCTGGACTTGAAGTCGTCATCTCCACTGCTCGCGCAACCATCCCACCCACCCACCCGCAACTTGGTTTGCAAAACCTGTTAAGACCGACTGCGACGACACCGACGACAACGACTAGGACGACACCGACGACGTCCCCGTCGACTTCGACGACGACAACGACGCCGACGACGACGAAGACGACGACGACGACGCCAACGACGACGACGACGCCAACGACGACGACGACGCCAACGAAGGCGACGACGAGGGAGGAGGAAGGACGACGACGGCGACACCGACGACAACGACGACAACGACGAGGGAGGAGGGAGGACGGCGACGACGCGAACGACGACCAAGGAGGAAGGACGGCGACGCCGACGACGACAACGACGAGGGAGGAGGGAAGACGACGACGACAACGACGACGACGACGACGACGGCGACGAAATAGGGGGGACGACGACGAGACGCCGACGACGGACGACGACGACGACGACATGGGAGGAGGAGGAGGAAGGACGACCACGGCGACAACGACGACGGAAACGACCACGACGCCAAAGAGGACGACGACGACGACGAACACGAGAAAAGACAGAGGACGAGGTAGGCGACGACGACGACGACGACGCGGGAGGAGGGAGGACGGCGACGACGACGACGACGACGACGCAAGAGCGCGCGCGCACGCTTTTGTTGAAAATCCGTGTTGCGAAACCTCGGGTTTTTGTATGTTTTTTGGACGCACGATTTTGAAATCCTTCCGAAACCGATGGGTTTTGAAGGTTTTTGGCATGCGCCCGCGACGACGCGCGCGTCTGCACTTCGTCAAATGTTTTGCAAAGGATTCTCGCGACGGCACACGCGCAAGGGCGTTCGACAGATTTCGACATGCGCGCGCGCGAAGCCCGTTTGGTAGCATGTCGTGAAAGTTTTGAAAAAACTATGGTTTCCCTAAGATTTCGCAAGAGCTCGCGCGGAAACTGTTTTAGCAAATCAGTGTTGCGAAACCATGTGTTTTTGTATGTGTTTTGGAAACTCGATTGCGAAATCCTTCCGGCACCGAAGGTTTTTGACGGATTTCGCCATGCGCGCGCGACGACGCGAGCGTGTGCACTTCGTCATATTTGTTGCAAGGTATTCGCGAGAAAGTGTTATGTTAGAACAAAAAATGACACGGCATAGTTGTTTTACCCGGGAACCTCAGAGGGGGGGGAACCCGGCCTGGCCGGGATGGTACGATTTCATATTTAGGATGGACGAGTGTGCGGAATATATATATATATATAAATATATGTATATCTATGTATGCATATATACATATACATATGTATACACATATGTGTGTGTGTGACACTATACTATCCCAGGGGGAAGCGATAAGTCCAGGGGGGGAGTCTATTCTCTTTTTAGAAAGGAAAATCTATGTAATGTGAGCGATGTAGTGGTATCTACGGGATGCAAACCAAAGTGTGCAGGACACGTGGTATGAACAAAAACGGTGGGAACAGCGTTGTGGCAGTTATGCGAAGAGAGAACAGTGTAAAGTATGTGGCGTGGACATCACGAGCGCGCACGATGCAGCCTGGGCGGGCACGTCTTTTGCGGAGGTTCCTCGTTCCAGATCTTTTTTTCTTTGCGGGCCTCACGAATCCTTCTCAAGGGGTTTGGAGGACCTCCAGGGGCCTCCTGGGCGGCTCCAGGCCGTTGTGGGGGTCCTTTTGAAGCCCGCCTGGGCCGTCTTGGGTCCCTCTTGGGCCGTGCTCGGGCCTTCTTGGAGAATTTAGGCCCTCTATACGGGCTGTCTTGGGGTAATCTTAGGCCCTCCTGGGGACCTATGGCCCTCGTGGGTCTCTCTTGGGAGCCTTTGGGGGCCTCGTGAGTTTCTCGTGGGCCGTCCTGGGGCAGTCTTTGGGCCCTCGTGGACTCTCTTAAAGCCCTCTGGGGCCCTTTTGGGGCGATTTCGGAGGCCCCTTGGGCGGTGTCGTGAGCGCTGCTACGACACATCAAGCGACACTTATGAAAATGCGCATTTTCCCAAGAATTGTAAAATGCTTGCCTCTTGGGGACTTTCCTGGAGGCCTCATGGGGCGTCTTGGGGGCCTCTTGGGCCGTTTCGGGGGTTTCTTGGGCCGTCTTGAGCCCGTCTTACGCCGTCTTCGGGCTCTCCTGCGCCTCTTCGACCACGTCTCTGATCGCTGTGGGTATGCTGGGCAAGTTCCCGCCAGGCGTCCTGGGAGGCGCGGCGTGCCTGGGTGACCTCTTCAAGGGCTTCCAGGGGTCCCCCGCCCTGGATCCTGGGGAGTCGAGTTTTTTCCCTTCCTCCCCAGCTTGTAACAATATAGAGAGGAAGATATCGATGTACGTATAACTTCTAGTTGCCGCGGTCGTCGTCGCCATGATAAAATGCTGTTCGTTCCCCTTCCCTCACATGAGCGTTTCCCCGTCCTCGCCCTATTCTGCGAAATCATCCCCGTCCTACTCTGCATTTTTCTGCGAAGCATTTGAGACCATCTTGGGCGCATCACAAAACCTTTTGAGGGGCTCGTGGGGCCTTCAAGAGGCCTCCATGGAAGCACCAGTGCTGCATAGCATGAAAGCAGGTGTTTGGCCATCGTGCCCGCAACCATTTGGCTCGAGTCTGCCCCCTAGTCTATAGACTGCGGCACGTCTGCGCCCGCCGTCGGACGCGCCGCCGCAGCCATGAGGGCGCGGGACCTCCAGGTCTGCCTGGTCTGCTTGTCCCGGCTCTTCGGCCAGTCTTGCCGGCTCAGCCTTGGCGGCCTGATGCCGATGGTGGCCGAAGAGCTTGACCTAGGCCCTGAGGGGGGAAGGGTGCTGGTGCCGCTGCCCTTGCCTCTTTTTGGATTTCCTGGGCCTCCCAGGAGGCCCCCGTCGCCACGGCTGCGGCTGGATTCGCTTGGCAATTCTGGTCACGACACACCCTTGGGATCGGTCCAGGGAGCAGCGATTTCTGTGTACTTCTTGGCTCCTCCACAGGCCCCGTGCAGTGCGCCTCCTTGCTCTCCGCCTTCCCCCTCGGGTATATGCTGATGCAGGTGCCAGGCGGCACCGCCGCGGACGTGTTCGGGGCCCGGGTCGTCATGGCAGCCGTGATGGTGAGCACCGCGGGAGGGACCGTTCTGTTCGCGCAGCTCGCGAGTTTTCCTGCGATGTGGCTGGCCGTATTCGGCATGGGCCTGATGCAGGGGCCTTTGTTCCCCGTCACGGGCGTGGTCCTCTCCCGGTGGGTGCCAGGATCCGCAAGGGCCCAACGGCGGTGTCGTGGCGTGGCCGCACTGTCGGGTGAGTCAGTGGAGGTTCTCGGAGTGGCCGTCTGGCCGCGCGGTTTTGGGACTCGGGTCTTTCTCCGAGGATGTCTCGGGCCGATTGGGGCCTCCAGGGTCCAAAAACCGTGTGCAGACGGACCGTGTGTCAGCATCGCCTGCCTGATGCCCATCCCCATTGGACCATGGCATCTCAGCCCCACCGGGATACGTGAGCCCTGCGAGACACGAAGGGAGTAGCACAGATCCCCACGCAAAAGGGTTGAATCGGCCAGTTGAGCCCAGGCCAAGCCAGTGGGGATGCGGGGATGGGTTTAAAATTAGCCTGGCGAAGGACCCAACCATACCGCAGTTGTGGGTAACATCTTCGGTGAATCCTCCGATGTGGTCACGAAACGTTTGAGGGATGTGCCAAAGTGACCCGTCGGCGGCAGGCGGCCTTTTCCACTGGGGCTTTCGGTGGAGCTCCTTATGGAGCCACGAAGCGTGCGAGGGGTGTGCAGAAATGGGGCGGCACCGACATGCGGACCCTGCCGCTGCGGCCTCTGGTGGTGTCGGCTCAGGCCGCGAAACGTGCGAGGGGTGCGCCAGAATGTGGGATGGAAGCGCATGCGGGCGGTGCCACTGGGGCCTCAGGTGGAGCACCCTGTGGGGCCACGGACCGCGTGAAGGGTTTGTCGAAATGGGGGGGTGGAGCCGCATGCAAACGCAGCCACTGGGGCCTTCGGTGGAGCTCCCTATGGGGCTACGAAACGTGTGAGGGGTGTGCCGAAATGGCGAGGTGGCGGCATGCGGGCCCTGGCACTGGGGCCTTCGGTGGAGCTCCCTACGGGGCCACGAAGCGTGTGAGGGGTGCGCCGAAATGGCGAGGTGGCGGCATGCGGGCCCTGTCACTGTGGTCTTCGGTGGAGCTCCTTACGGGGCTACGAAACGTGTGGGAGGTGTGCCGAAATGGCGAAGTGGCTGGCACTGGGGCTTTCGGTGAAGCTCCCTTCTGAAGCCACGAAACGTGTGAGGGGTGTGTCGAAATGGCGAGGTGGCGGCATGCGAGCCATGGCACTGGGGCTTTCGGTGGAGCTCCTTGTGGGGCTACGAAAGGTGCGGGGTGTGTGCCGAAATGGCGAGGTGGCGGCATGTGGGTCCTGGCACTGGGGCACTGGGGCCTTCGTTGGAGCTCCCTACGGGGCTACGGAACGTGTGAGGGGTGTGCCGAAATGGCGATGTGGCGGCATGCGGGCCCTGGCATTGGGGCCTTCGGTGGAGTTCCCTACGGGGCTACGGAACGTGTGAGGGGTGTGGCGAAATGGCGAGGTGGCGGCATGCGGGCCCTGCCACTGTGGTCGTTGGTGGAGCTCCTTACGGGGCTACGAAGAGCTGTATTGGGTATGCTGGAACAGAAACATGCGCGGAGGGCAGAGGCAATAAGAGGGAGGAGGGAGGAGGGGGAGGAGGAGGAGGAGAGGAGAGGAGAGGAAAGGGCACGGGGCGTTGTCTCTTCAAAACGGGGACCCAGCACCACAGGATGGTTGCGAAAAAGAAGGTGCTCAGTGTGCGGCGAGGTCTCTTCGGGATGCCGAGGCTACCCTGCGGCGTCTGCATTGCACCACCTCTTGGGGCTCCCCCGACCAGGCAAGGAGCGCGCCAGGGCCACCGCGGCGGCGGAGCTTGGGAACCCGCTCGGGGCCCTGGTGGCGCTGTTCGTGGTGCCCACGGCCGTGGAGAGAGAGAGAGAGGGAGAGAGGGCGAGAAATATTGATAAAGAGAGAGAGAGAGAGAGAGACGGGGACACCAAGCACAGCATCAGCAAAACATGATGGAGGTTCGTGCGGAATTCTTGGATCGGCGCTGGACCCGAATTTCCGCCCCTGCAACAAAGCAATGTACGCAGTTCTGACTCCAGGCTGACTCGTGCAGGG